CAGCATTATAATATAAATATTATGTTTTACGCAAATTGTGTCATTGATATCATTTATCTATTTATTCAAGGATCGCCGAATCAAGCTTTTTCGGTGTTTGAGTTGGAGAATATCGATGAAGAAACGGAGAAGGTAAAAGTTCACTGAAATGAAAATTTTTATTAAAATAAAAAAACGTATGTCGGCATAAAACTCGCTGATTTATGGCATTCAGGGTATCATTTGTCAATGCACCGTATGTTAGTGAATTGAAATAATACATTGGAAAATAACACCATTCATTTCGTTCACCCGACCATCTGCTAACACAAAAGTGTTCCCAGTCACGACATATGAAAATAACAGTAATACGAGAAAAATGGACATAATGTGTATGTATTAACAATGATAAAGACATTTTCCAATAGTCGTAGCATATGGGTATATATATAAATATAACAGAGGTTGTGTTGACCGGAGGAACTGTTGTTGTTGAAAACAAGAGTACATTAAACCAAGCATAATATACTGGTATAACAACTTATTAAATCAAATATAACTCTTTTTTAAACTTTTCTCCGTTTTTTGCACTCGACTTTCACTTTCCTTTTTCCCGCACAACGCTAAGAACCACCGGATGCGCACGATTGTCTTCCACCAATAAAAGGCCATAGAACAATAATTATTCCATTTAAATTCTGATTTAAAATAATTATGGAGTAATCAATCGCGTTAAAATATGTACGAGTGTCTGGCCGTTGCCCCCGTTGCTATTATATTGACTACAGTTTCAAAACACTATTATAGAAACCATCGGCATTCGCATATTAAAAAAGATACACCACTCTTGCACAGCTATGCTTTGCGTGTCCATTTTTGTCTTCAACACATTAAATAATGCATTCAAATACATAATAAAAAAAAAGTTGACTTGTCCAGTCACTTCAATGCAACAAATATGCGAACATATCAGCTATTTTAAACGTAGGAAAGTATGAAGTTTTTACGTTATACGGATCTACCGAAGTTATCGTCGACTTTTACCGTGTTTTACAGTACGACGACGTTTGCTTGACTCATTTGCCAACCCAACAAGTTCAATAAGTTTAGCTTTACAAACATTGCTGCAAGTTATACCACGATGCTGAAGAAATTTGCGGAGTTAAATTTTGGAACTTTGTTTGCTTTTCCAATCCATTGCCTTATATTCGCATGTAAGAATACAGAACGTCGATAAAAACAACCCCACTCAGACTCGTTATGGGTATTTTAGATGCGCCCTCTAGCGGAATTCCGAGGAAAAATAACAACTCAAAAATTATGAATTTACGAGACCACAAAAAGTATCCTCGGGGGCGGAGCTACGTCACAGACGTTCCACGTTGCTAAGACGCGCATCACTGTACCATGCATTTCTATGGGCTCTGAGCGTACTGCTGTGGAATGCCGGTCGAGGCGGTGAAAGTTCGAGAAAACAACACAAACTCAACTTTGGAGTAATCCTGAACAACCAAATATATATATGTTACACACGCAGGGCTAATCTTGTTACACTGTTCAGGGGAGTCTCAACAACCATTCCAAAGTACCGTTTTCTGTGAGTTTTTGGCCTTTGTTTTCACCGCGAGGGTTGCCAGGCGGTGAAAATGCCCGGATGCCCCCCCCCCCCGAGGATACCAGTAGTATATACAAACGACAATGATAGCGCCACCAAGTGACGAATATTGCAACTGCATTGTTTTAATGAAGCCGCGCATAGGAACTAAGAACTAAACTCAAGAAGTGCTTTGAATATTTGATTCGCGCATATAATAAATGTTAAGAAACCCATAGTTTGTCGTTATTAAACTGTTGGTTTACAGGGTGGAATAATTGAAATAAAGTCTAATATACCCTTACATCCGAAATAGGTTGATTTTTTCAACTTTATCGTATGCCACTATCTTAAGTAAGAAAACATGCGGTAGAAGATTATTGAGTTTGATGAGATGAGATAAAATGTCGTGAAGGGTCAACAGTTTAGGCAGAATGAATAGAACAAGAGATTTATCAGGTCATCAGCCTTTACCACAACTGGTAGATTCGCCAATGCTCTAGTGGGAATTCACTTTAAATTTGCAGCCCGAGGTTATGCACAATTTTCGTCATTAAGTTAAACGCATTATTAAGTTATTATACTTATACGCAATTTTCACCCATCAGATTGGCTGGATAGACGCGTTCATACAACGAAATGATTTTTTTAACTCTATTCGCCATAAGTGACAAAATGTGGTGTACACTATGTATTATTGAATAGTCTAAGCTCTCATGGGATGGCCATTAATAGTGTCACACGCAACGTAATATTACCGTAATTGGTATAGTACAGGTGTGATGGTTCAAATACCAAAATGGCAACAGTAACAGAAAGACTTCCCTGGCGGCGATGATAAAATACGACCACGGAGCCAACAGATGAGGTTTCAACTGGTACTGGTATTATTATACTCTGCAAACATCAAGTACAATAACGCGGTAAAACTCTACTACTCCAATAACTAGATACTTAAACACCAATACAATTCAACGAGATCTCCGATCTGATCTCAGTGCTGAACAACTCCCCTATGTATACTCACACTGTCTATAAATAGACCATTACATCAGCATACATAATGAGTCTGGAATTTACTATAAGTTTCTAGAATGTTCCATTACCTTCTATTGCCTCCTACAATGTTCTATTACCTATTCAATCAGTTTCTAAAAAAAAAATCTAGAATATTCCACCAGACGCAGTACGGTTCTAGAACATTCTCAGTGACATGGAAGTGGTAAATAAGTCGTATGCGACAAATAGTCATGGCTTGTTGTACAATGATATCAGTATCTGATGAGAATAGTTCTTGATTGATTCCATGAAAAAAAAGAAAACACAAACGACATAAATGCTGTTTAATATATATTCATTATTACTATAATCCATGAATGTTTGCAGTGCACTATAACCAAACGACATTTAACATGACATTCAAACTTTTACATGCAGGTTTGTGTTAATTTTGGAAAGTGAAGGTTCCGATTACTGGGAAATGGTCAGAGAGATCGTACGCAAATGTACACATTGCGGCAAGTACCTCAGGGGAATACGAGATTGGAGGGAATATGAAATCGGTATAGACCATATCGGGGTAACAATACATTATAGGGTCATCATAGTGGGACACTAAACGGAATGCCTCGAGACTTGAAGACGATGGCTGCTGATGAGCGTTTAATGTCAACACGTAGTCGAGCCATTCGGGTATTGCACCAATAAATCCTTCTCCCGGGAGTTGGTTTATCACAGGATCGAAAGTTGTATCCAAATCACCAATAATAGGAGGAACCGTTGCACCAATTATGTCAAATAGTTCATCACGATGGTCAGAATATTTAATACTATCGACGTTTAAGTCACCACCCAAGATCACTGGCTCGTCTTGTGGGATATTCTGCGCTGTCATGAATTGTGCCATTTGCTGTGATTGTAATACTCTTATTGTGTCATAATCAGCATGGTCTGTCCCACTTGGTGTAAACTGAAAATGGGTGCCAAAAATGTGATAAACTTTACTTCCGGCATTGGTTGATTTCTCAATCTTGGCGTATGCCACTCCCTTTGTTAGGTATATATCCTCTGTAGGTACAGGATCGAAAGTAGTTGAACTTTCCTCCAGAATTGGCCATCTTGATGCGATGAAAACTCCACCATTGTAAGGTCTGAAATACATTTCTGGTGGGTCTCCAACAGTTGTAGTAGAGTAAATAAACCCATTTGCGGCCAAGAGATCTTTGAGAGAAACACCAAATTCATATCCACACCCACCCTTGAATACCTCTTGGAAAATTATCACATCAACTCCAGGATGTTCCTCGAGTAGACGATTAGGGATACGACACAGCCGCTCTCTCTGACCAAACTGTCCAACGGGGTATGGTATTTCGTAGACGTTGTAACTAATTACAGTAAATTCATTGTACTCTGTGTCACACAGTGGCACTGGTGGTGGAGGCAAACATCGAGCGTGATCGCCATCTAGAAACAGCTGATCAAGTTCCAATTCAGTAGTACTGTTACAGATAAACCCGAACACATCACACATAGCACATTCAAGACCTATAAGATACGAAAAATAGTTACTATTGTTATAGAATCAGCTCGCATGCTCACTGTTCAAATTTGCTTCAACAATCTGATGTGATTTGAAAAGTCGCGCACTTTATCGTTTACTAAATTATTGCATTATATCGTTGCGCTGCGATGTTACGCATATTGAGACAGTTGTGCTTGGTTCAGTCCGTGTAAACACTGTGTGTACTATCCTGTGAGAAAGCTATCTTGTTTGTTTGTTATATATCATCGTTTAATAAATTGTAAACCATGTTTAAAAGCAAATAGTATTTTAAACTTGAACAATGCTAAGATTTGATGATAAATATTGTAGCAATTGACTTTCAAATTAAATAATGTTTTCTAACACTCAATACTATAGTAATAAATAGTCCAAAGAATTCCACTCTCAGATCTAGATATACATGTAATATAGTCAATAGAACATATAATTAGAGTATATAATTTACGATGTTTTTAAAAGAAACATTTTTTATCTTATTTAGATAGTGAACGTGTGGTTGAATATCATATGACTACACCTATTGGCATCAATGAATTTATGAAAGCTTGACTTTTATGATTTTCTCTTTCTAATTTGACAACATACTACGATGTACTTGTTTTGTTTTCACGACTGTCGTTCGGCATACCTGTAACGTGCCAAGTACACGATTTCTTACCAGAATTAGTATGTGATACTTCCATCGGGACCTCTCCGTCTCTTGGATAACAAAGTTTCTTCTCTGGGAGTCCTGTCCAACAGCAGGTTCCATCTCGACTGTCGCATCGAGCTGTCAGCACTTCATCCATGCAGGCATCATCACATGCAGTTGCACTCGGATTACAAAATGGTGCAGTTCCTTTCCATACCTAGTGAAGTAGTGAATGCCAATGGGTATCGTCTCTATTAATGAGGCAAATGTATTAATAAAGCAAAAACAATACAAAGTAAAAAAACGAATTTCAAAGTAATTTCCTTAATAAAATTGTATATTCAGATACATAATACTTGACGTATGAAAAATTTAAGTGTATATAATGATATTTGATTTTATCTATTATAATGCGAAAGGTTTTAATTATAATAAGCTTAAATCCATAACAAAACACTATATAAATAGTATCACAAACGGCATCAATAAAGTCTTTTGAAATAGTTTAACAGATAATACAACCATACGGCATTGGCAACCTGACTTGTTACTTGTTAATTTGTATGTATCTGTATGCTTTGTTCCTTTGCAGTTTTGGCTGAAGGCAATTTGCAATTTAAAGCACCACGTTCGTCAAACCGACTCGGGTTCCAGGAGACATATTAGTATCCAACGTCTGTGAAATATAGTGTTTCTTTCATTAAAAATTCGACGCGCGCGATTACTGTCACGCTTTAGGCATTTTATGCCAAGGTCGGAGGTTAACTCGAGGACGGAAATTCATGAATGCAATCTCAACGACGCTTACCTCGTTAGTCACAGTCTCCCTTTCTTGACACGTAGAAATAACGCCAGGAACGTAACACGGAATTCCTTCATAATTGTCAACAACTGACACAATAGTATCACCGTTCTCTGTACATGATTGTTCTCCAAGTCCAAGACATATGCGCGGAGATACGCCGGGTAAGATTGCGGTCACTCCAACTTCATATTCTGTTAAAACAGCGCGATGCAAATGTACACAATGTTACAAAACACAGAAATAGGACCATATATTTTAGATGAAAACATAAAACATAAATAAAATGTTTTTTTTTTTCAGTTCCTATGATTAGTTGACATAATTTTTACTTCACTTTAAATGCAGCCCAGTGAATTGTAAAGACTAAGAAGGTTTTAAGAAAAATTTAACTTACCATCAGCGCAGACATATGTCATACACATAACGAGAATGGTAATCACTTTTGGTACAACAGTGTTCATCGTGACTATTCAATCTGAAAAGCCAATATTGTGTAGTATACACGCACCGTCACAAGGGTTATAAAGACAACACTTTGCTGCAGAATGGATTGGTCAAGTTGGAGGGGGGGGGGGATTTCCTTTTAGCAGAAATATCAATGAAACTTGACCGTAAAAATATTTTTTAGATAAAGATTGCATGAACAAATGTCAACTATATGCGTAATGTATTTCAATACGTACATTGAAAATCATTTTCCATTAAAATATAAGGTGAATATATGGACTCGATATCGATATCAAAACAAAAACAAATACACAAATCCTGATGAATTTGAAAGTATAAACGAAGTAAAATCAAACAATACTTGTTAGGTAGTAACCATGTGTTGTTGATTAAAACTGGTCAAAGTGGTAAAAAGTAGCGGAATAAAATCATAATCACCTGTCAAGTAGAATATTGAACGTTTCAATGTGTAGATTACACGGTCAAGCCACTGATGTGTACTAGTGGCCACCGAAAGCGAAATGATCTATTGACGCGAACGGTTATGAATTTAATAAATATATTTTCTACACCATGCTGTTCCTTTAATAAAACGCCACCCCATGTAAATTAAAATATATTATGACCCGATATCACTTGTTTGAATAGATTTTTGATAATGCTGGTGTAATGGACACTAACATCTCTATGAACCAACATGATTGAATAATTAACTTGTGACGTAACAATTATCTACTAACTGTATGTAATTTGGCTGATTTCATTTTTATCACACGATCAACTTCGACATTCAACAAGACAAAGACATAGCTAATGGGCGGCTACGATAGTTAACGCCTTTTCGATGTCGAAATTCTAGTAAACGTTCGAGTCACGTAGACCTCAAACAGGCTGTTTACTCAGAGCCCTGTAGCCGTTATTTAACTAAGTAATATTGCAATTAAGGTATAAGGTGTTTTTTGATTGTGAAGGGGGCGTATAGTATATGCAATCAGTATGTAAATTAACTTCAGTTATGTGTCAGGCACAAAGCAATATAACTACTTGATGAATCTTTAATTTCAGCGTTTTCGTAGTAAAAGTCCGAACAATTTTTGTGTGGTTTTCAAGATATAAACCCACAGTTTGAGTAAATGTCTCGCGGAAGCCTGAGTGCAATTTATTCAAATCTGACCCTTATCTCGTTGTGTTTCTAATACACATTAATAGTATGCTTATATGAAATAAATTGCTACATATCGAGCACAGTTTCGCTTATTCGCCGCATCTTTGCATAGCGTACACTGGCATATGCTTGTCAATTTGAAACTTATATTGAAAACAGAATACATCGCATGTTTTTGAGAACAGATACCAATTAAAATATTTGTACTCTCAACAAATTGAAAAAAACGTGGGATACCATATGTGTGGCGTGTTTTGAATCTCATTTTCAGGAACTAAATTACAAACATAATGACAGATGGTAGTAATTGAATAGAAGGCAATTAGCTAATATGATAATGTGCGTTTTGATTTCAATCGTTAAAATATTGAACAACGTGAGGATGCATAAAGTTCAAGATTCGAACGTTTGCATGACAGCGAAGTCCTGGCAAGGGGACGACGGTTTCGTCCAACTTGGGCGTTGCGTTTAGTAATTACCGTGAATATATAAATATAAAAAGGTGTCAAGGGTGCTCAACCGCTCAGCTTCACCGCCAGACTGGCTGGCTTTTATCAAATTGTAGTCTGCCAGTAAACCGTAGAGCTCCAAGGTCAATATCAACTCCCGGTGGTACACACTGGGCAGCAAGCTCCTCGCGGTCCAAGGCAAACGGGGCTCTGGCTAAGGGAAGGGAAATCCTGAAAAGAAACCTTCTTACTATGGAGGGCCAGCAACCCGTCCAGTTCAAATCGCTCGTTACAGAAACTGCAGGAAAGAAACTAACTAGTACTAACGGGCAGAATGAGTAGCCGAGAAATCGGCAGGATGGCCCCGCGTCTGATGAAAGCTCTGTTGGAAAAGTCATGCATCGATTTTTCCTGTGAATTTGATTACCTAACGTTTTTAGGTTTATGCGCTGCAAATTACAGAACACGTACCTAAGCGGCCGTCCCACAGCAAATTATTAAGCCAAGGCGGTTTCTGTATCAAAATCAAGAAACTCTCCGTTTTTACACAATCTGGGAAGTTTGAATTACTAAATGAATACAGGACGACGAAGCCGAAATATCCAAGAACCAACACATACCACAAATCTCAAAAGTGAATATTCGCGGTGTATTTTAAGCCTAACCGGACCGGAAGTGCACAAAAGTAATCAATATTTGTCCATGCTAGAATGATGTGTAACTTCATACGGGAATCCTGATAAAGTTCACAACTAGCGATTTAGCAATATATGGATTGTCAACTTCCTGTGAATTTGATTACCTAACGTTTTTAGGTTCATGTGCTGCAAGTTACAGAGCACGTACCAAAGCGGCCGTCCCCCAGCAAATAATTAAGCCAAGGTGTTTTCGATATTGAAATCAGGAAACTCACCGTTTTTACACAATCTAGGAAGTTTGAATTACTAAATGAAGTACAGGACCAAGAAGCTGAACTATCCAAGAACCAACACATACCAAAAATCTCAAAAGTGAATATTCGTGGTGTATTTTAAGTCTAATCGGACCGGAAGTGGGAATTTGTACTCCAAACATCCAAACATATTTTTGTATAAGGTAGTAACTTGTCAATAATTATGGGATTATTTGTAAGCATAAGATTGTTATGTGAACTTCGTTCATTATTGGAATACTGTGCGATGACGCTATTTGCAGGGCCTAGCTGATTCAGACTCCTATATTGACTATGTCCAGGGCTGTTTACTAGTACCAACCTACTTACTTGTCAGTGTCTGACTGTTATATACAGCCCAGAAGACGTCAGAATAATAAAATAAAAGTCAGCAAATGTCAGTTGCCCGAGCCATGAGAGCCGGCCACAGAACCAAAACAATACGCCAGCCTTCGCCGCCCACAGCATCGATATGATTTCACATTGCATAGAAATGAACACTAAATGCAGCTATCCCCGGCCGGTCAGCAATCGAATCATCAATCTTCATAAGTGATGTAACTGGTATTTCCACCTATTTGCTTAGTGGTCCGTAAGTGAATGTTGTCAAGTTCGAGTGTGTTTTGACGTAAAGCGACGTGAACATTATTGCTACAATTTTGGTCTTTAAAATGTTCTATATTCACCCAAAACAACAACGAACCTGAAACAAAAGTAACCGCAAAATGATACAAAGTATATGACATATGTAATTATATGCATCAATGATACACCGTAATGAAAATTAGTGTTATTTACGAAAATATTCACAATTTTATAAACTGGCATGGAAATTCCCACCACCTATGCAAATTCACATAATTTTGTTTACTTTGTACGTGTACTATGATTGCATATTTTAATACATAAACACTCAAAATATTTATCATATAACCTGGACAAAAGATTTATTTATTATTTTTCCATGCCATGAGACATTTCCCCTATCTGTGTTACTTCATATTTTAGTATAAGGTAGTAAGAATGCGTATACGTTATCTGGGATGTATATATCCAAGCTAGTTTCTAGTGCAGCCTCTCATATTACTTGACAATAGTCTACAAATATTTTGTAAGTTATAAAATTGGTATACGTTAACTCGGATGTAACAGAAGTAAGTAAAAGTTACATCACAGTAAGAAGAGACGACTTAACACTTACTGTCCGTCAATTACTGAGATACAAAGGGTGACAGTCGCCCGACTCAAGGTGTTGACGGGGTGTCAGATCGTGACTTTACTTACTCCTTGGCCGGTATGCCTTTGATATAGCTCTATAAAATTGACAACAATGAGTTGAATCCATGTGGGCATGGAAGCTGTGATGTTTTTCAATAAAGAAAACTTACTACGAGCACGTGTGTATATGTGCTATTTATCCGTTTTCAACGCATGAACCTCCCCTCACGAACCCTGATATGTCGCGTTTTATGTTTGGATCCCGACACCCGCAATTTAATAAAATTAAAAAATTTCAATATAAAATATGCCATCACTGACAATGATGGGTGTATTTTACGGTTAGTGTTTGTTACGAAAATATTTGTCACTATTTTATAAAATGGCTTTGTAATTCCCATCACCAATTATATATAATGCACATCATGTTACTACCGGTAATCCAAAATCACTCTCGATAATTTTGTTTACTCTGTGTGTGTACTATGGTTGCATTTGAAGTTTTTATCATTTTAATGGTGTGCATATTTTACTGGTAGTACATAAAGGTACACTTTGCAAAAATACCCATGATATATTAATAATATAATCCATTATACAACCTGGACAAAAGAAATTCTTATTTTTTCTTGATATAATGATATGTTACTTTATGCGGAAATCCTAGTGAATGAGATTTAAAAAAAGGGATTGTCACTTGCCCATTAATGCTTTTAGTTGATGCTACCTTCAGGTCCTACCTGTTATCCAGAGTCTCATGTTGACTATGGGCCGGATCGTTTACTCACTGGTCAGTGTAAAATTTGACCGAGAAAAAGTCGTATAATAGTACTAACAAAAATATAAAAGTCAGTTGCCCGTGTCAAGAAAGCTTACAGAATCAAAATAGTCTGTCAGCCGTTGATGTCCATACCAGCGATATTTTACACATAAAAATTGAGAATCACAATTGCATATAAATGAAGAATACAGCTATTCCGGCCATCAGGCCATCAATCGAATCATAAGTCTTCATGATTGATTTAACTGATATTTCCATTCATATGGTTAGTTGTCACAGATTGAATGTTGTCAAGTTCGAGAGTGTGTTTTTTACGTACGGCGACGTAAACATTATCCATTACATCACAGTCCCTCAAAACTGTGATTACATTAAAGACGCATTGACAAGGAAGTGCCATTGTAAAATTTCGGAGAGTAGAGGACTTTTTATACTGGAGACGTTCCAGTACGGATCCGGGGTTGTTCGATTGGCTTATCAAAATTCTTTATTTGAATAGGGCATGTTATATATATTCACCAAAATAACAACGTTGCCATGTTTCTAGGCATAAAACGAACTTGAAACAAAAGAAATCGTTCGATCCAAACGACCTGCGTCCTTGGAAACCAAGTCTTATGGCCCTGGTGTTTCCGAGCGAAAATACCAGCGAAGATTCCCGGGGAACAATTATTAATGCTGTATTTCACTTTGATGTGGGAATTGGTGACCAAACATGGAATTATAAACCATGGTCAAAACAAATTTGGAGGAATCCGAAAACGTAACTTACTGCACGTGAATTTCCCGACGAAGTTTTAAACGTTCTGGTTATCTCCGTGGTACAGTAGCCTTTGATACAAAATTGACGGACTCTAAAAACGCAATGTGTGGCAAGACAAAAACGGAATGTGATGCAAGTAATGCAATATCACGACAAATGTTTCGAATGTTCGCCCATTCTTCCATGTTTATTTGGCGACAT